ACCGTGGGAATTAGGGAGTTATCTACTTATTCATTCCTGTCATTCCATTGACTGGCTAAGTAACTTAAATTTTATATGAATGCATGTTACTTGATTGTTGTAAGTGTTGCAAATGCTTACAGCTAAATCCTGGAAGTCCACACAGTCTGCTGAATACATACACACAAACATACTACATTGAGGGGTGCAGTGTATGTGTTTGTGTGTACGGGTGTGGAGTGCTGTGTGTGTGTGTGTGTGTGTGTGTGTGGGGTGCTTGTGGGGGATGCTGTCGCAAATATACAATCTATATACCCCCTCCATTCTTCTTACCTTTGGTGAAGGAGGGGGGACACAGAAATCCCTGGTGGTCCAGTGGTCGTAAGAAGGACAGGTCCTGCAGCTCTCCTATCCTCCCGCGCGATGCTATGTGGAGTGTTGCCATGGTAACGTGCGGCAACGCTCCACACAGATTGCTCGCGGGCGGACGGGAGAGCTGCTTCTCAGATCCCTCCCACTTTCCTCCTAACACGGAAGCAGAGTTGGTGTCACAGTAGTGACCCAAACATGCAGAGTGTAACCTAAACCAGAAAAACGTATTACCGGACCTTAGGATTGCTGGGTTTAACGTGGTAGAGTAGTCGAGGAAATAGCCAAAAGCCAGGGATACCAGAAAGTAGGATGAGGATAAAAACTAGCCGAGGTCAGGAAAACAGATAACAGAAAAACGAGAAACCAGTCCAAGTCAGGGTACCAGGGAGGAGAGTAGTCAAAAGGGCAAGCCGGGTCAAAATACGAGGAGACAAACAGAGAAATAACAAGCACTAGAGGGAACCAAGGAATAGAACCACAATAGGGCACAGATCAAGGAAAAAAGGCGCTCTTTTATACCAAAGCGTCTGTGGCTTTAACAGCACGCCCCTAGAACGTCCGGCAGCGTGGAATACAGTGAACATACGCGGTATAGTCCTCCTGACGTCGGCACGCATGTGTCACATCATAAGAGGAGGCGTGTGAGGAACGTCCCTCGTCCGACAAGCTGTGCCGTTGCCCAAAGATGTTGGAACCTGGAACTACACTGCGCGGGTCCGGAGGAGAAAGGATATGGACATCAGGGCTGCCATCAGAAATTTTGGGGCCCCTGACACAGCTCAAGGTCTGGGTCCCTGGGGCCCACCCCCGAGTCTGCCCACAGGTATGCAGTGTGTTTGTGTATAGTGAATTCAGAGTGTGTGTTTGTAGCTTGTGTGTAGTGAATGCAGTGTGTGTGTTTGTGTAGGCATGTAGTGTGTATAGAATGAATGCTGAGTGTGTGTTTCTGTAGTTGAGGTGTTGTGTTTGTGAAGTGGATGTAGTGTGTGTATAGCGAATGCAGTGTGTGTGTGTTTGTGTAGTTGAAAGTGTGTGTATAGGGAATGCAGTGTGTGTTTAGTGTACTGTGTGTATAGTGAACAGGGCCGGACTGGGGATACAAAGCAGCCCTGGAAAAATTTATGCCAGCCCCATAAGTCACAGCGCCATATATTGTCGCGTGTAATATGTAAGGCTATGTCTTGCCATGACAGATGATTGAGTAATATATATATATTGCTTTTTCCATTATAAAATATTGGTCCTTTCAGAGTAAAACATTTAATTATACAGTAAGCATACTCACATGCAGACACATACAATCTCACTGACATCTCAATGACACACACAAGCTCATTGATACACGGCCTCATAAACAAACAATTTTACTGATATACATCAGCTCTTTGACATAAAAACACAAGCTCACTCACTAGCAGGCACACACATGCAAGCAAGCTCACTCACTAGCAGACGCACACACACAGTTTAATGTACTGGTACTGGTATCTATAGCATGTCCCTACAGGCTTTTCAATGTAAACACTGACTTTTCAGAGAAAAGGCAGTGTTTACATTGCTTCAAAGTGACACCGCTAGTGACAGTCACTCAGACGGTCACTAGAGGTGCTTCCTGTGTCAGTGCACCTACATTCAGGGCCTCCACACTCTGTATGTGCTGAACATTCCCCATAGAGAAACATTATCTCTATGAGGAGATGCTGATTGGTGTAGCGTTTTGCAGCCAATCCGATGGCAAAGCATTGGATTGGCTGAGATCATCAAGCTTGATGATCTCAGCCATAGAGGCAGGGCCAGTCAAAGGGAAGACCAGTACGCTGCGTGGGGAAAAAAAAGGTGAGAAAAACCACTATTTTTAAACACACATATACACCATGACAGACACAGAAACACACACCCCATGACAGACACACACACACCCCATGACAGACAGACATACACAGACAGACACACACACACCATACAGACAGATACCATGACACAGACAGACACACACACACACACACACACCATACAGACACCATGACACAGACAGACACACCATAACAGACAAACTCGTGCAGTGCAGATGGCTGTCTGTGCTGGGGCACCTGTGCTGGCGGCCACTGGGGAAGGTCTGCTGGCAGCCGCTGGGGGAGCTGCGCTGGCTCTGCTCTCCCGCTGCTGAATGAGACCGGGGCCGGAATATGACGTCATATTCCGGCCCCGGTCTCCTTAAGCTGCACGCTGGGGAGCAGAGACAGAGCAGCTCCCCCAGTGGCCACCAGCAGACCCAGGTGTCTGCCCGGCTCCAGGTGCCGACGGCCCACCGGGAAATTTCCCGGTATCCCGGTGGGCCAGTCCGGCCCTGATAGTGAATGCAGTGTGTGTTTGCATAATGGATGTAGTGTGTATAGTGGAAGTATTGTGTGTGGATATAATGAATGCCTAGTGTGTGTTTGCGTAGTGGATGTAGTGTGTATAGTGGAAGTGGTGTGTGTGTGTGTGTGTATAATGAATGCATAGTGTGTGTTTGCGTAGTGGATGTATTGTGTGTATATAATGAATACATAGTGTGTGTTTATGTAGGGATGTAGTGTGTGAATAGTAAATGCAGTGTGTGTTTGTGTAGGCATGTAGTGTGTGTATATAAAGAATGCAGAGCGTGTTTGTGTAGTTGAGGTAGTGTGTATAATGAATGCAGTGTGTGACTGAATAGTTTGTGTAGTGGATGTAGTGTGTATAGTGTATGCAGTGTGTGTGTTTGCACTAAGGGAGATGCGTAGTGGATTTAGTGTGTATAGTGGAGGTACTGTGTGTATAGTAACTGCAAAAGTTAGACACAGAGGAGCTGCTGGGAAGGGAAGATGGAGTGTGCTGCGGTCCTTCACTGCAGTGAACAGGAGCCGGGGCCCACAGGGCGCAGGTGTACATATACAGCGAAAAATCACTATATATATATACATACATGTGGGGCACGGAACCACCATCGTGGTTGTCATGCCCTGATGAACATTCTTTTTTTCGAGCCAATTGTACAAGAGAAACTGTCAGTGGTTATTATACCGCTATATGTTGTTTTACTCAGAGCTGGTCTATAGCAAATATGAGTGTGATCCCACATATCCTTGTTGTGTGTCCTATACAAAGTATCTGCCCATCTGCACTTTTACTGGTTATTTCCTTATTTATTACATATAAATTACCACCAAGTAAAGCCTGGACTAATCCAAGCCAGGATTTTCCAACGAATTTGACTTAATACACACAATACTTAGTGCAACCTGTTTTTTGTGTTTTGTTTCTTTTCAGTGAGGTATTGGGGGTAGTCATTACTTACAGTGTTTGCAGCTTAATTTACTGTTTAATTAATTTAATCACTTCCTTAGCGCTTATGCTACCTTTCGTACTTGCTGCATTTTATGTAAAAAATTTTACCAATGTAGGAATATCAGAATATTTACCAGTGAAGGAATATCAGAATATTTACCAGTGGAGGAATGTCAGAATGTTTACCAATAGAGGAATATCAGAATATTTACCAGTGGAGGAATATCAGAATATTTACCAATAGAGGAATATCAGAATATTTACCAGTGGAGGTGTATCAGAATATTTACCAATAGAGGAATATCAGAATGTTTACCAATAGAGGAATATCAGAATATTTACCAGTGGAGGTGTATCAGAATATTTACCAGTGGAGGTGTATCAGAATATTTACCAGTGGAGGTGTATCAGAATATTTACCAGTGGAGGAATATCAGAATATTTACCAGTGGAGGAATGTCAGAATGTTTACCAGTGGAGGAATGTCAGAATATTTACCAATGGAGGAATATCAGAATATTTACCAGTGTAGGAATATCAGAATATTTACCAGTGGAGGTGTATCAGAATATTTACCAGTGTAGGAATATCAGAATATTTACCAGTGGAGGAATATCAGAATATTTACCAGTGGAGGAATATCAGAATATTTACCAGTGGAGGTGTATCAGAATATTTACCAGTGGAGGAATATCAGAATATTTACCAGTGGAGGTGTATCAGAATATTTACCAATAGAGGAATATCAGAATATTTACCAGTGGAGGTGTATCAGAATATTTACCAGTGGAGGAATGTCAGAATGTTTACTTGTGGAGGTGTATCAGAATATTTACCAGTGGAGGTGTATCAGAATATTTACCAGTGGAGGTGTATCAGAATATTTACCAGTGGAGGAATATCAGAATATTTACCAGTGGAGGAATATCAGAATATTTACCAGTGGAGGAATATCAGAATATTTACCAGTGGAGGAATGTCAGAATGTTTACCAGTGGAGGAATATCAGAATATTTACCAATAGAGGAATATCAGAATATTTACCAATGTAGGAATATCAGAATATTTACCAGTGGAGGTGTATCAGAATATTTACCAGTGGAGGAATATCAGAATATTTACCAGTGGAGGTGTATCAGAATATTTACCAGTGGAGGAATATCAGAATATTTACCAATAGAGGAATATCAGAATATTTACCAATGTAGGAATATCAGAATATTTACCAGTGGAGGAATGTCAGAATGTTTACTTGTGGAGGTGTATCAGAATATTTACCAGTGGAGGAATGTCAGAATATTTACCAATAGAGGAATATCAGAATATTTACCAGTGGAGGAATGTCAGAATGTTTACTTGTGGAGGAATATCAGAATATTTACCAGTGGAGGTGTATCAGAATATTTACCAGTGGAGGAATATCAGAATATTTACCAGTGGAGGAATATCAGAATATTTACCAGTGGAGGAATATCAGAATATTTACCAGTGGAGGAATGTCAGAATGTTTACCAGTGGAGGAATGTCAGAATATTTACCAGTGGAGGAATATCAGAATATTTACCAGTGTAGGAATATCAGAATATTTACCAGTGGAGGTGTATCAGAATATTTACCAGTGGAGGAATATCAGAATATTTACCAGTGGAGGTGTATCAGAATATTTACCAGTGGAGGAATATCAGAATATTTACCAGTGGAGGTGTATCAGAATATTTACCAGTGGAGGTGTATCAGAATATTTACCAATAGAGGAATATCAGAATGTTTACCAATAGAGGAATATCAGAATATTTACCAGTGGAGGTGTATCAGAATATTTACCAGTGGAGGAATGTCAGAATGTTTACCTGTGGAGGTGTATCAGAATATTTACCAGTGGAGGTGTATCAGAATATTTACCAGTGGAGGAATATCAGAATATTTACCAGTGGAGGAATATCAGAATATTTACCAGTGGAGGAATATCAGAATATTTACCAGTGGAGGAATGTCAGAATGTTTACCAGTGGAGGAATGTCAGAATATTTACCAGTGGAGGAATATCAGAATATTTACCAGTGGAGGTGTATCAGAATATTTACCAGTGGAGGAATATCAGAATATTTACCAGTGGAGGTGTATCAGAATATTTACCAGTGGAGGTGTATCAGAATATTTACCAGTGGAGGTGTATCAGAATATTTACCAGTGGAGGAATATCAGAATATTTACCAGTGGAGGAATATCAGAATATTTACCAATAGAGGAATATCAGAATATTTACCAATGTAGGAATATCAGAATATTTACCAGTGGAGGAATATCAGAATATTTACCAGTGGAGGTGTAATGGTATTTATTAATTAATGACTTTACATCATAAAGAAAGCATATTTAGTGTAATGCTTTGGGGGCACCACTAGGGGGAGTGTGTAGGAAGACATGTGCTTCTGGCAGTGACATCACAGGCCAGCCTACTTACACTGAATAAAACCAGATGGAGGAGAAAACTCTGGCTTTTTGCCTCTTTGCCTGTACCTGAAAGATGTAGTAGCAGCTCTGACTTAACCCCAGCCAAAGGGCTGGGGCCTTGTAAGTAAAATGTTGTGTAACATGTAGCAACCTTTTGTAAGTAATATGTTGTAGTTTTGTATTGTATCATAATTGTAGTAAATTGACATTCTGCTAGCATCTGTTTATTTATTATAGTTATAGTAAATATACATTTAATATTACAACGTTTTGTGTATTTTCTATCCACATATTCGACCATAATACCATGAATTATAAAAATATTAATGTTGTTCCGTATTGCTTAATTATTATGTATTAAGAGATTAATATTCATATTTAGGTCACAACCACAACATTTGGCGTAGTCGGCAGGATTATGCTTGAATATTGGGGAAAATATAAATGTTATGCATATTGCTTAAATCATACTGTAAATTGTCTGTCTGTATACAAATGAATAAATGAATGATGATTTGGTTTTAATGGAATGAATGCAGATAGCAGATAGGGATTAGATATTTGTTTTTTAAGGTATCTCTTGTTGTAGAACATAGTGATGAATTATTGTGTTGCTTGTTACGTTTTACCAACCTTTGGTCATTTTATATATATAAAACAAAAAACTATTTTACTTTTTGTCTGACCATGTGGATTTTAATCCACCATTGACCACATGGTGTGAATGAGTTGAGGCCTAGTTTCATTGTTTGCTTTCATTTGCATAGGAAAAGACTTTTCACTAAACTAGTTCACCAGGTTTTATTGCTAAATTTGACCCTGTTTGAGTACTAATTTACATTTGTTTGGTATTCATGGATTTGTCTAGTTGAAAAGAGATTTGGACAAAATGTATTAAATTAGTAGTTAAGAAAAAGATACGTTTAGTAAAGCAGATTCAGTGAATAATAGATTTATGTGTGCGTATACACAGAATATTAGTATAAATATATATATGATTTTGACTCATGAAGGAGAGACCACTTTTTAAACAGCTGTGTGACCATGCTTTTCAGCTACAGCTGGGGAGAATTTGTCCTTGTTGGGGGTGGGTAGTCTTGCCTGTATGAGAAAAAATAAACTGCATTGTTTTGTAAATGTAATTGCCTAAGCTAATCAATTTGTGGAGTGTTTTTCAGCTTTATTATCCAGGACTAAGGAATTACTGGACATATGCAGGAACTGGTAACAAATGAACTGAAAAAATGGTAAAATAATTCCTTTGTCCTATTTAGTCTGAATATTTTAACAAGTTAACATTTTTAACAAAGTAAGTGTAGGGGCTCAGATTAAGATTTATATTATTTTAGAAGCCATCTATAACTGATTTTAATATTTCCATGCTTTGAATTAGGGTGTATCTGCCTAGCGGGTGAACCTCCATAACGTGGGCTGTGATTTTAGTTACAGTGGCGGGTGGGGAACCTGAGCTAGGGGGTATTTAAACGTGTCCGGATAAGGGGGAGCATACCCAATAGTTGTTGTGCAGTTCTATCCTGTATTATTATTTGAAACCCTGTATTACTTATAAGTAGCGTTTTGTAACTTATTTGTAATTGTTTATATATATTGCTCTGGGAAAGGGATAGGCAAAATCTCTGAGAGACCAGGAAATATATTTTTAAAAAGGGCGTATTACACTAGTGGTAGGGTGGCCTATCATGACCATAGAGACCCTTGGTGACTAGTTTTTGTTGTATATTGCCCTGGGAAGGGGATACGCTATTTAATAGAAATTCCTGAGAGACCAGGAAATATACAATAAGTGATACGTGAATGTACTGGTTAAATTGCAGACATATTGGCCCAGAACCTTTAATCGAGCCGGAAAAGAGGCTGCTGTATGTTTGCTCCTCTATAATTTTGCGGGGGCGGTCACCCCATGCGGAAAGCCACTGCCATCACAGGGTGGTTAGTTGTGCAGGCCCTTAGCCGCGAGGTGCAAGCATGTCCGTGGAAAGGCTAGAAATTAATAGGGAGTCACTCATAGC